ATGATATTATAGTTACAAATGCTATATATTTTTCTCTCGGTGTAATAAACTATAGAAACGCGAGATTACGACATAGATATCATTCGTGCGGAATTTAATTCACGGAAGTTGCCTCGGATCTCTCGGCGATATCGTTACACAAATATACCGAGAATTTATTCCCCGACAATAACGTTTCAAAGTGTCGCAGTTTTTCAATAATTCACGTAATGAACTCCGCTGGGAGCGTCGCTAGATGATAAACGAAATTCCACTTCGATGGACTAGTGGAGGGTCGGCAATTAGTTGAAGGTAAAGTCAACTCAGATGATACGATATGCCGATATTCGACCCTATTCCAGTTATAGATATTATCAGAATAATATGTAGACAAGGATTTCAAACGGATTAGAACTTAGCCCTCAAACTGCCAGCAATGCGAACCCCGAGAGCCATATTTACACGCATTCACATATTCCCTTTCCTCTTTATAACATCATCGGTATCTTTCATTTTTCAAAATACTCATATACAGGCCCCTTTTAGAAGCCAAATTAACCAACTCCATTTTTTTGTTAATTTCTTAATTTTACTACCAGAGCGCATGATTAACGTTTAACGTTTAATTTTCCAAAACTAACAAATTAGAAAGATAAATTAAAATTGTCGAGATATTTTGCAAATTTTAATTTACGGAAAATGAATTTCTTAAATTTTGCAAAAATTTTAATTTGCCTCTTCCAAAATAAGATTTATAAAACACGAAGTTGATTATTTTGACTCTCAAGGGATTCGCTTGAAAAATTATTCAACGGGCAAATTTGATACTCTCTCGCCGCTAACAATCGGAGACCGCTTTGGAAGCGACCTATAGAAACGCACTCGGGTATTTATTTACACACATATATAAATCTATGTGCACGCAATGCACACGCACGACTCCCGGTATCCACGCGCGATCACGAGCGCATGATGCGTGCATGTACATACGTTTTCAGCTGTCTCCCAAGTCTGTTCAAGCATATCTCAAGAGAAAGGGAGACCTCAGGAGAAGGCAGGGAGGACACGAGAGAGATATCGGTAAGACACTCCGTCCTGCACGACACTTATTTTTATGCCTGCTCATTTGCACCCGCTTATGGTCGGGCACGTGCTACCCGGATCGATGAAGCGCGTTCCGTTGTGTAACGCTTCGCAAGTTGTAAAAATACTCGACGCGCGTCGGTCGCGATTCTTATTCTAAATCCTTTCTTAAGACTTTCGCTACCAGCGTCGCGCATGTGTCACGCAACGGTGTCTGACGAGAGATCAGACCGGCGCGTCATATATGTGCACAGGGAAAAAGATTTCTTTCGATTTAATGAAACTTCTTTAATTGAAACAAATTTGCCTCGTGGAATCGGACATACGGACGAATGTTTGATTCAACAAACAGGATTGTTTGGTTCCTCGAATCATAAATATTTTGACGTCAAATAAAATATTCTTTTTTGTATTTTTATTAAAAATTACCACTACTTATTACGAGCAATAAATTATTTGAAAGAAGTGATACTATATTAGAAAAAAATATGAAAATACTTCTTTCCTTCAGTTCTATAATAGTAAGGTTATCATTGTTTTAATTATAATGGTTTCAACCTTATGTGTACATGTGGAGGGTTAAAAATCGTGTAATAATAAAAATGATCAATCTAGAGAGTGGTACCGGCGTACACATGACCGCCGACTGGACGAGGGAGAGCGATTCGGCGTAGGATTCGCTCGCCGATCGGCCTTCGATCGGTCCGCTTGGCCCTCTTTCACTTCGTGCTTACGCGGATCATAAGCGCGAATCGGCCGGAGGGCACCGTGTTTAGCCGCGAGAACCGCGGTAACGTCGCTTAAGAGGCTCAAACGCGCCGTAACGGCGGTACGACGCATCGCAAATTTAAAATTACGCTGACGACTCACTCCGGCGGCCGCGCGCGATAAGCATCATTTTCGCCGGGAAAAAAAAAAACTGGCCCGAACGGCACCACGGCGCTGGCCGATAAACCGCGATAAACCGTAAATTAATGATCCCTCCGCGGGACGTTGGATGACGGTAGATTATAATTTTATCCCCGCGAAGCGAGAAAAGATGCACGGGGCTCTCTCGGTGTCGTAATATTGATTTCGATCGCGGGCCGCGACGATCCGCGTCCGCCGAAAGCGTATTCGCGCCGCGTATGCGAACGACACTTGTCGTACATGAAAAATCAGGTGTTTCTGAGAAATTATATCGCAAATTAACTATTTCTTAAGATATCTGTACAGAAAACAAAAGTTTCTTTGGATTTAGTATACGTGTTTGTTTGACTTGGATTTGTTCAATATAAAAACGTAACTTAACATTGAATATAATTTCGTTGGAATGAAAATGTTATTTCACCAGAGTAAACCATGTTGTGTGTTTGATAGAGAAAAAGATATATATATATTTAGAGGAAATATTTCGTTTTCACAAAAAAAAAATTATTTCATTATATATTAAATATTGTTCCACTGAAACAACGAAATTTCTTAATATTTTTCTAACATAATAATGTTATTTCTTTCAAATAACTTATTGCTTGTGACAACACTTATGTTTGGGTAAAAATGCAAAACGAATACGTACGCATATGACGTAAAGATATTTATCGTTTAAGAAAGCAAATAATCCTGTTTATTTAATCAAACATTCGTTCGTTTGTTCCATTCTAAAAGACACATTTGTCGTAATTAAAGAAATTTTATTAAGTGCACAAAAATCTTTTTCTCTATGCATGAAATATCCACATACAGCCAAGATGGTTTCAGATATTCGCCTAACTATCGACGACTGAAAGAATCACGAATCTTTCATTCGTCCTCCAGAAAAGTACGTGCGCTTTCCTCGCAACCGCACCCGCGTCTCTTCCCCTAAATTTCCGCACTGGAATAAGTCATGCGAAGTAACGAGGAATACTTGAACGATAAATAAAACTCCGTCGCACCTGCGTCGCTCCGCCGTGGCGTGATAGCCGCTCTCATTACACCTCTCGGCAATTCGTATTTCTGGAGAACTGTATACGCGCGCGACTTCTACAGAGACGCGATATCTTTAATCAAACAAAAGAGGATACCGAGACCCGATGACTCGGACTTTTCCCGACTAAAAGAACGTCGGACAGCTGGCGCAAGGTGCCCCCTTTCAGCGTTCCTGCCGAAAGTCCGTTCGTTGGGCGCAACCTTGCACTCCTTCCACCGGCCACGTGCCGACCGTACCCCCGAGCTCACCGGGCGTAAAAAGCTCGTCACCCGGTGCTTCACAGACGAGTCCAGCGATGATGCCCAGACGATTCAAGTTTGCTTTATCTGTCCCCTCAAGTAACGCGCGCGAACGTATCAGTTTTATTCCTATAGTGTCCGCACACCGGAAAAAGGCTTCCCTTGGATTTAGTATCTATGTTTATGTTTGACTCTTGGATTTGTTTAATATAAACAATATAATTTAACATCAAATTTCACTTTGTCTGAATAATAAACGTTGTTGTTCCGCTAAACGCTTGTTGTTTGACCAAAAAAATAATATTATTTAGAAGAAATATTTTTGTTCGTTAAAAAAATGATTTTATTATGTATTAAATATTGTTTCATTGAAACGAAAAAAGTTCTTTAATGTTTTTCTAATATAGTACTTTTTTTCAAATAATTTATTGCTCGTAACAACTATTGTAATATTTGGATGAAAATATAAAAACAAAACATTTTATTTTACGTAAAGATATTTATTATTCGAGGAATCAAGCAATCTTGTTTGTTGAATCGAATATTCGTTTGTTTGTTCTATTTCAAAAGATAAATTGATTTCAATTAAGGAATTTTATTAAATCTAAAGAAATTTTTCTCTGTGTGTAAAAACGGATAAACAATGTGTTTCTTTTTAACGTTGTACGACGATTGTGAAATATGAGTAGTGGAAAACTAGGAATGGGAATAAATGAATTTCACGCGACGATGAGTCGGTTTGAAGAAGACGAAATAAAAATTACAAGCGAATTTCATCCGCAATCTGTTTTAATTGTTTTCATATTCTGTTCTTTTTATTTTCATCAAAGAACCTTACTATCGTTTGATTGATGTAAATGTTACTATATCATAAAGTTACTATTGCTTCGTGTTCAGATAGTTGAAAATCGATTGAGATTCAGTCTTAGTCTGCTTTTACTTCCGATGCATCCTTTTTGATTTATTTATCTTTAATGATGAACAAATTCAACATGAGCTAAATTTTTTCATATCAGCATAACGAGACAATATTGTGTCTGCAATGTGCTATGTATAGTTGTAAAGTGGCGCTAACGAGTACAGAAGTTTGTTGATATTCTAGAGATCTCTTTCTTATCGGCAGTTAGTCTAAAAGTTTTGCATCTGTTTACTCACAGACGGTAATATACCGAAAGTGGATATTACCTGTGGTTTTCATTGAGATACGTAAGATGCCTTCCAGAATGCTGATTCGGGAATTTTTGTATAAACGGTTAGCGGATGAAATATGAAAAAAATTCAAGGAAAAATAGAGAGTGATAGTTGATTGCTCTGATAGAAACGCATTTGCGTTTGATATCGCAACATACGTAATATCATATATTACGTTGGCTAATAATAATCGCTTTTCTCTAATAATTGAAAGATTTACACATAATGCATCAGATGCGAGATTATATTTAAATCACCGACGAACATTTCGCCGACACCGAATTCGGTTTACGATACGACGGCGACTGTCGTCGCGAACATGTCGGGACACGATCGGGCGCGCACGGCGGGATAACGCAACATGCGTCGCTTACCGTACCGGGTAGCCCTTTGACGACGGGATTCTTTCTCTTTTTTAACTTAGTTTTATGGTCCCGACCACCGGTGCCGCGTTCCGAGTCGAGTTTCCCACCGGATGCCTCGGTTCTCAGACGGGAAGTCTCTGTTTTTCCCGAAAGTTACGAGGGGGAACAGTGGCAATTTTTCAGCGCACTTACCGTCGCCAGGCGATCGGTCGTTTCCCCGCGTCTCCCTGGGCCTCCATCATGAGATTTGTGCCAGGACGTCTCCACCAGCTTACTCCTCCGTCAGCAACTTCTCCAAGGTCCCCTCGTCTGCATAGTTATCTGTTTTTTTTCCGAATGTCCGTCCTCTCGCTTCCCGCGTCGCCATATTACTCCGCGCCTTTCCTTCTTCTTCCGATTTCAAACGTTCTCCCCCCTCCACGACGCTTCCCGATTCGCTGACGGCCCCCGCCAATCACAACCGCCCCTCGCATGTGTGTTCGTTTTAGTCTGCGGTATCCCTTTTCTTTCGGTCAGTCGCGCTCCTTTACGCGGCTGAACCTCCGGTTGCAACAGAACGATATTTAACAGATAACAGAACGATCGTTGCGAGCGTGGAACATGCTTTTTGCCCTCACAACCATACCATGGAGTTTCCGAACGCAGCCTGATAAATGTCCCGAAGCAGTTTAGCCAACTTCAGAGCTTGACCCACCGCGTCCAGTCTGGGCTGGTGTTGATTCAGTCGAGAGTTCGTGATATCGGATGGGTCTCTTACGCGGGGTACTGTGCAGGACGGGGTAGTAAACGTCAAAATGAGAGCACCCTCGTGATAACTCTCGCGTGCAGTGGGAAGTGCGACAACAATAACAACGACGACGAGGACGAGAAGGACCGGTGGTACGTCGTGCGGCAACGTCCGATGTCCCGCGACAGGCACCCACGCTGACAGGAAACTGCCCGAGACCAGCCGAATCGCTCTCCTCTGTTGATATCGCCTGGCGGTCCAGGAAAGCAACGAAAGTATGTACACGTATTCTCCATGACTTGTCACTCCTACGTTTCGCAATCGAAACGCGCTTGTCCCCCGCAGCGAAGCATGCTTCGCGTCCCGTAGCCTTTTCTTGTTCGGTGCGAAACATTCGGAGACAGATCGCGAGACCGCCAGCGAGAAACGTTTACGAGCCACTTGAAACCTTCCGATTACGATCGTGTACTATGTTTACTTTGCCAAGATCTCGTGTGTCACGTACTTGCTCATTAGAGCTCTCAGCGGACACTTCCACCTGTTTGTCGTGAGGAAGAGTGTGCGATTTATTGTAGTCTTCTATATAAGTTAACAGCTTTTAGTATGGATAAGAAGTTTGAAAATGAGAGGATAGAGATGTATAAAAGCACAAAGTAGGTATCATATCGTGGAGCGATATATTCATGAGAGATCGGGTTCTTTATTTATTACATGTCTATATTACATTGGGCAAGTACCACTTAACGCTCGCAAGGATGCGAGCCTCGTTCTATCTTTGTTTAGCGTCCAGTGAGGAACGAAGAGCGGTATTCACGTCCTTACGAGCGTTAACTGGAGTCTCCCTATTGTATATCATAACTTGATTCTACACGAGCTATGCAAAACGATGATTATGTTTACACGGTAACGTGTAATCTGTCTTAGTAACTAGCCGTAATTAGTGGACTCTTGTATCCTACTGGTACATTTTTTCAGATCTAGATATATACTCCAATCAAATGAGAAAGTTCACTAACTACGGTTGTTATTAACAAGTTGACGCTCTTGAGCAACCTTATTCAAGTGTATTATCCCCTTTATTCGATGATTATATATATATATATATATATATATATATATATAATCATCGAATAAAGGGGATAATACACTTGAATAAGGTTGCTCAAGAGCGTCAACTTGTTAATAACAACCGTAGTTAGTGAACTTTCTCATTTGATTGGAGTATATATCTAGATCTGAAAAAATGTACCAGTAGGATACAAGAGTCCACTAATTACGGCTAGTTACTAAGACAGATTACACGTTACCGTGTAAACATAATCATCGTTTTGCATAGCTCGTGTAGAATCAAGTTATGATATACAATAGGGAGACTCCAGTTAACGCTCGTAAGGACGTGAATACCGCTCTTCGTTCCTCACTGGACGCTAAACAAAGATAGAACGAGGCTCGCATCCNACATACACATATCATCTTGTCACTATAGGGAAAGCACAACATTAAGGGGCCTGCTGCAGGCACATTTGAGACCTGCGGTGGTTGGTGAATGGTGTTGCAGATAGATTCCGTGTGGGGCTGGGCGTCACCCCCGCTGCGCCTCCAGCTAGCCGGGGGGACCAGGGGTGCCTCGGGGAGAGCGGCTGCGGGTGCCCCATCCTCGCAGAGGATGGGCGAGATAGTCGTAGAACGCGCTCCCTCCCCAGCACGCCTCAGTCATACCTCGGAAAAGCACCCACGTGCGACGCTAACCGAGCTCAATGGTCTCCGCCGTCATCGAGAACTCTGCGACGTTGTTCTCAATGTTGGCACCAGAAAGATATTCGCCCACCGTGTCATCCTCTCAGCATGTAGCCCATACTTCAGGCAAGGATACGAGCGATGCTCTTGTTCAGCGATAATATTAGTCCGTGTGATCTCAGGTCTGCTCTTTTCCGGAGGATTTCCCGAACTGCTGTACACTGGTGCAATGAGTCCAAGTGAAACAAGCTATATTTAATTCTCTCTGACTTACTGCACCAACTCAAGAAGCTCTTTGGAAAAGAACAAATCTCTGATTTCTTACTTATTTCTGAGAGAGAGAGAGAGAGAGAGAGAGGCTGCTACATATAGACATTGGAATGACCGGAGGAACTTTTCTGACTTTAGGGCAATGTTTACTGGGGAGCTGGCGGAATCTAGACAAACTGAAGTAACAATACGCGATATAGACGAGATGGCCATGGAACTACTCATAGACTTCTGTTACACTTCTCACATTATCGTCGAAGAAGCAAATGTTCAAACTCTCCTTCCAGCAGCGTGCCTTCTTCAATTAGCAGAAATTCAAGATATATGTTGCGAATTTCTCAAGCGCCAATTAGATCCGTCGAATTGCTTGGGTATTCGTGCGTTCGCGGATACCCACTCGTGCCGCGAACTTCTGCGCATTGCCGATAAATTTACTCAGCATAATTTCCAAGAGGTACGCGCGCCACGAGAGGAGATCGCATTTGTGTCAACCCTGCTATCCAGTCACTTAAGTCACCTTTTCTCTTGACTTTTCTTCACAGTCACGAAAAAATTCAGCATCGTCCAAAACAGATCACTGTAGTTACTTTTTCTCTCGAGCTGCCGTTAAATTTATAAAATACAAGCGTTCTACGTAGATTTTTGTCGTTTGCTGCCGATTATTGTTCGCTCCCTGAGTAATCGGTTTATTGCCTCAGCATCCGTACTTGTATCGTTCATGCCCTTGGTCTTGTTATGAACCTTCAAACCGTACTGTGAAAGAACTCGTTGTATGTTAAATTATTCAATGACAAACCTAGGAAAATAAGAGTAAGCCCGAATCTACAATAGTAGTAAATTATATAATAAGCTTTAATCACTATTGATTATTTTTCTATAATACGACAGTGATTGATCGATTTGCTTACTGCTTACGTTTTAAAGCAAGGTTATAGACGAGAGCTAGGTGTAATTGTTTTACTTGAATAATCTCAGTTACTCTCAGAATTTGACAAGAAAGTCAGTATTTTGATGTCTGGGAGCTCTGACTTTCAGTCACTTTCTGCCAAGAAGCGAACACTATTTCACCTTTTTTGTTCCGGTGACTGGGTGGTAGACTGACTTCAGTTACATAAGATCAAAAATATCTCCCTCGTTCGCTAGGTGATGGAGAGCGAGGAATTTCTGTTGCTACCTGTCGGCCAATTGGTGGACATCATCTCGTCGGACGAATTGAACGTGCGCACGGAGGAGCAGGTGTTCAGCGCCGTGATGAATTGGGTGAAGTACAACGTTACCGAGAGACGACAGCATCTGTCTCAAGTTCTGCAACACGTGAGACTACCATTGCTCAGCCCGAAGTTCTTAGTCGGCACCGTCGGCTCCGATCTGTTGGTTCGTTCCGACGACGCTTGCAGAGACCTGGTGGACGAGGCGAAGAATTACCTGCTTCTGCCGCAAGAGAGGCCGTTGATGCAGGGACCCAGAACGAGACCCAGGAAACCCACGAGACGAGGGGAGGTGTTGTTCGCCGTCGGCGGGTGGTGCTCGGGCGATGCCATCGCCAGCGTCGAGCGATTCGATCCCAACACCGCCGACTGGAAGATGGTCGCGCCGATGAGCAAACGAAGGTGCGGAGTGGGCGTAGCGGTATTGAACGACCTGCTGTACGCGGTCGGCGGTCACGACGGCCAGAGCTACTTGAATAGCATCGAGCGATACGACCCACAAACGAATCAATGGTCTTGTGATGTAGCCCCGACAACTTCCTGCAGGACCAGCGTCGGTGTCGCGGTTTTGGATGGATTTCTGTACGCGGTTGGTGGCCAGGACGGAGTGCAATGCCTTAATCATGTGGAAAGGCAAGTACTTGAGTCGGTGCGACGTTAATTACCCATCGAATGCTTCTCGTCGTCTAGATGTTTAGGCTCTCGTTGCTCGCTCGCTCTGGTCGCTATAGTCGTGATTTCACATCACACGAAGCATCCTTCATTTCGCAGGTACGACCCTAAGGAAAACAAATGGTCTAAAGTGTCGCCGATGACCACCAGAAGATTGGGAGTAGCCGTTGCTGTGCTCGGAGGTTATTTATATGCCATCGGCGGGTCTGATGGGCAGTCACCCCTCAATACCGTAGAGAGATACGATCCAAGGCAAAACAAGTGGACCCAGGTGTCCCCAATGTCTACGAGACGTAAACATCTAGGCTGTGCTGTATTTAATAATCTAATTTATGCTGTGGGAGGACGAGACGACTGTATGGAACTGTCCAGTGCGGAACGTTATAATCCTCATACGAATTCCTGGAGCCCCATAGTAGCGATGACATCTAGGAGAAGCGGGGTAAGCTCCGCCGTACTTATCTCGGGATCGTTCTCAAATAGAACGGCGCATGACGAGGATCGGAAGACTTTGTCTTGAAACAACTTCGTTGTTGGATGAATTTCAGGTGGGTCTAGCGGTAGTGAACGGTCAATTGTACGCGGTAGGCGGATTCGACGGGACTGCGTATCTGAAAACAATTGAAGTATACGATCCGGAACAGAACCAATGGAAGCTGTGCGGCTGTATGAATTACAGGAGGCTCGGCGGAGGCGTGGGAGTAATGCGAGCTCCACAAACCGAAAACTACATTTGGTAGCTCAGGCCCCCCTCTTCAGCCCAAACGGCTGAAACTCCTCTAACTCCTCTCACACCGGTAACGCCAGTTACACCTGTAACCCCTCCCGCCCCCGTATCGGTTCCTGTTGTTATAACTAATACTAGAAAACGCTACCGTCGATCGATGAGCATTATATAAGTAATGTGTATGCATTTTGTAAAAGACTTTGCCTTTCTAAAATTCCGCGAGAGCCGAGTCCCGCGTTTGACACGTTTCACGACGCGTTTTCTCTTTTTCCCTCCTCCCCCCCTTTTTTTTTTAACTTATCACTCCGAGATAACTTTCTCGTTCGATTGAGGCGCACGGATTACGTGTGTACGGTGAAAGAAAGACGCGATAACGTGCTCGAATTACTTTACTGCCGTTACTTTATACATATTTCTTCACATCACCATATATTTCACATCACAGAGACAACTTCGTTGTTATTTTATAGGAATCTCTTCGTGAAGGGCGGGCTCCGATAGCCCACATAAGTGATTGGCTAATTTAAATGTAAAATTTTCGTAATTGGCGGTCCAGCGAAAAGACTCTAGGCGGCCGATGTGAATGGACGTGTGCTGTCGCACGGTGGTCTAACGGAACCCTTCCCTTCGTGAACGCTATACTTGTGTATCTTTATTGTGTTTACGCTATACGAATTCCAGTCGCTTTAGATTTAAGTGTTCATAGGAACCTTCGAGAACGAAGGATCGCTTCGCGTTTATCACGCACAGACACTGAGAACAGCGTTTTCCCATGCGAGAAGAAAGAAAGGCAAATTCTCTTCCCTCGGACGTGTTCGCCAGAAGCATATGTGTTTTTGAAGAGCATTCACAGCTTCCACTCTCTTTCAGTGAATGAGAATCGAAATAAAAGTTCAAGCTTTCAGTTGATAGTCTTAATTTAATTAAGCGGAAAGGTTGCTTTTGCACCTAATATAACGCGAGATTGTAATATAAGACCACTGATTTCTCATAAGAGTAGACTGCTTTTTTAAGTATACGGATACCATGTTCTGTTCATAAGACTGAATGTTAACCAGGAAACATTGAAATACTAAATCGTGATAAACAGTTACAGTCTATATTCTCTTGCAAAGATATATCAAGTCAGTGACACACACACACATATGCACACAACATAAACACACATACACTAGCAGTGTGAAACCCTGCGAATAATTCGAATAGTATCCAACTCATTTGACGCATTTATTATGTTATCAACGATTCACGACAGGTGCAGAGACGCACTTACTCGAGAAAGCAATATATAATGATACTTGAGATTATAAATTATTTAAACGCGATGTTCGACATCTCGTTCCTTCGTGTTGCTGCAAAGATACGCCATTTAACCGACATCCGTTGTATATGTTTAAGTCAACAGAGGAGTAGCCTTATCGTACAAAATGGTGATAGGGATCATTGACAACAACAATCTCATAATGTAACATTTCTTATAATAATGCGATAAGGACAAGTGAAATTGGCTAAGCACGACCAACGTTTCGCTACAACAATGACGGGCTCGATAGCGATTTATTTTCGTGCAAAATCGAACGACGACTGGCACGTAAAAAGAAAAGATTCGGAGATTTTAACGAAAGCGAGAGAGCGTTCACGCGGATCGTCGTTGTTACAGGTATGAGATTGTTGAAGACAGCAAAATGCATGTCTAGCATAAGAACATATTGACGATGTAATGTAATTCTTTCTAAGCAGCTGGCCACACAAAGATGATTATTATTCCGATTTCTCTCTCTCTCTCTCTCTCTCTTTCTCTCTCTCTCTCTCTCTCTCTCTTTCTCTCTTTCTCTCTCGAGTCCTACGAGACAGCTTACTGACGCATTTCTCAATTCACGCGCGGGACTATTGCGAATAGTCCGTTATCGTGGTTAAGTTAAAAAACTCGTGATACCGTAGAGGCAAAGGAAAACATCGTGGATCGTGCTGTTCAGTTAATCAAATTAGACGTTACAAGGGTACAAATTATTGTAATCCACGAACGAAGTTCAAATAAGTGTTCAATACCCAATCCCGATTCTGATTTTCAAGGAAACAGCAGTTAGAGATCTGAAGGATGTAATATTGTTTTCAGAGCGGCAGTTTCGACACGCGCATAGCGCTAGCTGGATTATAATTTTAATCTGCGTCGAAACTCGTACAATAGGCATTGTATCGGACCTTACACACGCCAACGTTTCCCGTAAGTGAGGCACACGAGAAACACCGAAATCTGATTTGCGTTATCAATTTAGCGCGCGTGGAGTAATCCCGGAAACGCAAAGCGTTAATGCAGACATATTGTTTTCCTGTCTTGCTAATCGAGATCAAAAGATTGTTCTGTACAACTGTTCAGTACAAAGGAAGAGTCATAGGATTTCTTTCCTGTTTTTTGTCAATAAATTAAAGAAAGTGCGCATTAGAAGTTTGCGCGAACTATTACGCACGGCGTTCTTGTGTCCTACATCAGCAATACAGGATGTCCCAGAGCTATCCTGTTTCCTGATAAAAAAAAAAGAACGATAACAAATCCGCCGGTGAATATGAGAGGCGATTCTTTTCTTTTCTCCTAAATATATGCAAGGTATTAGGTAAATTTACCAATATAAATTACGATTTTGTGATCATTTTTAGAACTTCTAATTATATAATAACACAGTGAAACAAAATGTCACTTTTTTCTCTCTGAAGTGCGATAGTACATTTACCAGTATAAAAGTTGATGCGATGATTAATACATTTTTAATGACTAATTTTTTAAAATTCTTTTTACAGATTAGAGATTACCTTTTCAGAGGCACTCATCATTTACACACGAAAGTATAATATAACAATTTAATGAAATATACCTATAAAAAAGAAAATTTACATAATATTATTTTTCTTTTTAATATTTACATTTTTATTTCGAGAAATATAATCTGGAAGAAAGAGGAATGCGATATTCTAAATTGGAATAAAGTTTGTTTAAACGCGGCTTGATATAAGATTGAGTTATAAGATTAGAATGATAAGCGAGAATATATAATAAAAGATAATATTTTTCTCAGAAATTTACGTAAGAAAGATGAACTGATCAACGTGTGGGTGCCCGATAGCAAATTTCTAGGGATCCGCGACATCTCTTAGGAAGCTCTGTAAATTCCCTATTCGTTAGCCAATTGGCAGCTTCCACACGCTCTGTCGTGCGACACAAGTGTGGGATACCGGAAGTAAAGTGTGGGGTATCGGAATGGTATGTAACACGAGTTTGTTATGATAACGTAGACGTCGCCGGCTGCTGCATTGCATCGCACGCGCACTTTTCAGTGATTTCATGACATACTTGTTAACATTCCACTTTTACTTAACATAAATTACGATGTTGCTCATCAATTGTGCTCTTTTGTTAAATTTGTTACTTGCGTGGCCCGTCTTCGGTGGTCCCGAGGAAGAGCAAGGAGTAAAATATGCTGACAAATGTGAAGGTAATTTTTATTTATCTCAGAACGAAATAAAATCTGGCGAAACATTATTTCAGAAGAAAATATGCGTGAGATTCACACACAGAATTTGTCTCAACTTAGAGGGATAAGTTACAAAATATATTTTGTGGCTCGTCTAATAAAAATAGGAATATCTGGAGAGAGATGTCAGGAAGAAGAAAGAATGAAGCTTTGTTTAGTTTGAAAGGAACATCAATAAAAACTGTATCAGTTGAAATTGACAGTAAATCCTTTTCACACAGTGTGCAAGGTTGTGGCTACAGAACTTGAGGCCAGATTGGATGAAACAGGAAAGACTCATGATGTACTGGAGATAGGATATTCTGTAGATGATATCGCACCGAAAAAGAAAAAGGATTATAAGAAATCGTAAGTGTCGTATCAAATTAAAGCGATGTCTGCAATTGTTCCAAACTTACGAAGAGGTTTTTGTCCCTAGAGAGCTGCGACTTCTAGAGAGCATGGAAAATGTTTGCGAGCGTATATTGGAATACAACATACACAAAGAACGTACAGATAGTACAAGATTCGCGAAAGGAATGAGCCAGACATTCAAAACACTCCATGGTCTTGTGTAAGACATACTTTGGAACACTGGAGTGTTGTGATATATTCTGTATATTAATAGTTATATGGTTGCAGGGATAGGGGAGTCAAAGTTGAACTGGGTATTCCTCATGAACTGTGGGATAAACCTTCGGTGGAGATCACCACGTTAAAAACACAATGTGAAGACATGCTGGAATCTTATGAAAACGACATTGAAGAATGGTATCACAAACACCAGGGAAATATTCCTTTAACCAGGTGACACTCCATTTAAAACCAGTATTAACTAAGAATATTATTTATGAAAATCAATATGAATATTTGTGCTTGTGCCCTGTTTAGATATCTATGCACTGAGCGTGTATTGAAAGGGCAAAATGATTCTTGCTTGTATGAGAAGAATTACAGCAAGGATACGAAGAAACAAAAGAAAAAAACGAAAAAGGTACCAAGCAATACTGAAAATGCCAAGGAGGACGAAAATATGAAGCAAGAATTATAAAATGACGAGAATAAATTGCGTCAAAGAACAAATTTTTATAGATACCATTTTTATTGCTGGACTAAAGAAAATGTATGGTCTTTCATCCAATAGAACCATCTATATGTATGTGTGTATATATAGATATACACGTAAGTACATATATATATATATAATAAACACAAAACATTGTATATATATACAAAGTTAATCTGTAAATACTAGCATACCACTGTCTATATTTAAATATACATGTGCCATATATACACTGTAATATCAGGAATATTATAATAAACTTCTTTTTATATTTGCTAGAAGATCAATACACAATTGCAAAGCATTACCTATACTATAGTGAAGATAAGCTCAAATATTGTTGTGTATGTTAAAATATATGGAAAATATATCAAAACTAATGAACTTATATTTTCACATTTTATCAAAATTTCAATCCCCTGCATAAGATTTATATTTTTTTCAACGGTGTATTTTTGTATAAGACAATGTTATTTATATTTAACTCTAGTTTATTAATTACATGTAAAATACATACTTTATAACAGAATTGATGGTTGAATCTAAGACTGAGACTTGTTTCTGTATTTAGGTATTATCCACTTTTCTTTGCCGCGAAGAGCTCTCAGACGTTCATATTCTTCCTTGAAATCCTTGTGTTCGTCCCTGTAGAGACCATAATTACGCAGATGATCCATTATCTTCTCAGTCTCCTTGATTCTCGGGTAATATTCCACAACCTCTGTTCTTTTATGCACTGGCTTTTCGGAGAAGAGCTTCACCACCTTCATCGATTTCTGATTAGTAAGCCTGGTTACTTCGCCGAAGATTCGATTACTCAGTCGGTTCATACGCATGGCGTAATTGGTATTCACTTTCGTCAAGTTTATGTACTTGTTCATTTTTCGATTTGCCTCACTAAACTATAACGATGATAAATTATCCTTCTTTTGAAGTCTAAGAGATAGGTTGGGAATTAGGATCGAATGTGTTATGAATGAAGGCGAACGATTTTCAATGAATCTTAACTTGCTAATTACTTACTTCTTTATTTCGTAAATTTATAGATTCTATCAGGCATTAGACGAAGAACGATAAAATTCTCCTCTTGCACGTCGTTGCTACAGTCGCACAACTGATGAGCGTAAGATAAAGAATCGTTTTACTTGCCGTTGAGTCGTACTACTCGAAGTCAACATCCGTCTGAACAGTTATTGAATTGCACTACCTCGGTTTTTAGTAGCTTTTCAGAGGTAGATGGCGCAAGGTAAGCCATTAGTCCCCGTCTACAATAAGTCTTTTAGGACGATATTTATAGTTGGATTTTATGGTTTCTGCCCACAGGACGCGGCAACGCTTTTCGTGCAGCGTTCTAGTCTACAATAGATGCTTTAAGCTCTAAACTTTAAGAAATTGACTAATAACAGACCGACACTTATATATAAAGCAGGATTTACGGATAATAAGAATTTAAAGCATAAAATTTAAGAAATTTACCAATCATAATCGATCTTTCTTCTATAATTCAACTGTGATTGGTCTATTTTCGTAAGGTTCAGAGCTTAAATTCTCATTGAAATTGACTTGGGCTTTAAAGCCTAAATCAAACTACAGATTGGGGATTGAGATTGAGATTGAATTTAGTTAATCGGTAAAAAGTTAACTAAATACAAGTTTAGTGAAGTTTAGTCAACTTTGCACTGATTGGTCAAATTTCAATTTAATCCCAATCCCTAGTCTGATACGGGCTTAACCCTTTCCCTCCCACATAACGCAATATTTTTTTAAACTTTCAACCTTATATCTTTTAACGAAAAAATCATATGAAAATTTATCAAACATCATTTCTAATAGATTTTGACCTCCTCTTTCGAATGCCGTTGAGAAATTTTACCCAAAACGTAAGCCGGAAAAGTTATAAGCCGTTTTTCCGAAAAATTCACAAATTTTTCACGGTTTTTTTTTTAATGTTTATTTTGAGTTGGAAAAAATTTGCACACGCCATCGCAATTACTATAAACGGTGTTATAGATGTCTGCTCTTTCAAATCCCGTTGGATTTTTTTCGAAATTCAAAGTGGCGGACACAAAATGGCGTCCGAAAGGGAAAATTTTTTGTTTCAACTTTGCGAATTTTTTTCTCAAAAACTATTAAGTTTGGTGAAAAATTTCTACGAATAAAAATGTCTTAAAATCAGTAAAAAAATACCCTCAAATCTTTTCAGAACGGTTTTACAACATTTTTGAAAACATTTATTAGGAGATCACGTTCTCCTAACATCAAACTAAATTCCGATAGATTCCGGATGCTGCGTAATTTTCACAGAATCGTATCAGGAGAATATAACGAGCGAGGAGCTTGCATGACTTAACGCCTTAACCTTATATTTGATATTCCTTGGCAAATTGTCTTATGTTATCTTGTAATGAAACTATCTAATTGAATTTATATTACTAATAATTTTACGATATTCCATACGATATACAATACAATACAATACAATATTTCCATGCTATATTCCAGATATTGTTCCATACTGTAGACCATACGATATACAGCATGTTGCGGATCGAACTAGCCTCGTCGCAACAAGACGACTGGAACGCCGGATCGCCGCGCGCCAAGCGAGACAGTCTCGCGCGCCGGCTTCTCGTCACCGTACAATTAATATACTGTTAAAATCTTAAGAGATTTCGAAGAAAATTAATTCATGGATTAATTACCTTTCGTTCGATTTTATGAAACACACGCGAAAAACGTCGATCGGCGGGACATAAATCTGTAAAACCGAAATCGCATTTTTCTGAAAAAGACAGACAAACAGAGAAAGAGAGAGAAAGAAAGGGGGGAGGGGGGGAGGGAGGGTCCGGTAATTAAAAATGCGGTGAAACAGGGCTTGAGTTGATGGTCATGTTATATTTCTTTTTCTTCCATTTACTTCCGTAAGAAATTCGCGCGGAGATACATAATATCGTATAGGATCAATCGATGATTCATCGCGTAATCAATTTGTATCGTAATGTAATAAGTAACGGTATGTTACAATATATATATATATATGTAGTATACATATATACGGCAATATATGTAGCACACGTGTACACGTAACGTTGCATTAAATTGCATTCATGGTGGATCGTCGGTGAGTGGGGAGAGTTTGACGCGGCAAGTGCATCGGCGAGTGAGATGTGCGAGACGACGTCGCGCGACGCGCGGCGGCCGATTCGGCATATCGATCTCGAACGGAGGACGGCTGCCAGACGAGTGGCTCGCCCGAGGATTCTTCCGATTTCCTCTTCTCCCCCCTCGTCGCTCGACTTCGCTCTCCATCGGAGAATCTCGCGAGCGCAAGACCGATTGAATTTGACGCGTGAATTCGACGCGAATTGTTAATTAACGACAGGGTGGCTCGTTCGGCGGAATCGATCGGCGAGCCGGCGAGCGAGAGAAGGAGAAAGAGAGAGATCGTCTGCCGTCATCTCTTCTCCTCTTCGCGTTTCCTTCGCGCGTCCGTCGTGAGACGGTCGAAAGAGCCGCCACGCGCGATGGAAAATCACGGTGGAAATTCACGAGCCGATCGGCGCGTCGATTCCGAGCCGCCTTGGGCCGCGCTCTTACGATTACGATTGTTCTCGCGAATGGCACATGATCGGACGAAGGACAATGGTAGAACTGTAGTCCAATGTGGGACGCGACCGGGAATCGAGAATCGGCGCGCAGAGAGCAAGCTGCGCGGAGGAGCGGCGAAAGATCCGGAGAACGAGAGCGTTCGTTTCGGCGGGCCGGTCGACGGGGGATCGCCGCGAACCTCCACCGGCGAATTTCTTCCTCTTCCTCTCCATCTGCTCGCCCCTCCTCCCTCTGCTCCGAGATCCCTCTCGCCGCGGATGAACGACCGGCTCTCCTCTCCTCTCCTCCTCCTCGCACGCTCGTATGCACGCTTCCTTCTTCTGCTGCTGCCCTTCCTCCGCTCCGGCTCGATTACATGATTATGCACTTGCCTTTCTCGGCCCAGGGATTGTTCTTCTTGTCGGGCGCGTGTATCAGCGGGTCATTCTTCTCGTTCTCTTCTACATACTCCCGCATCCTGCGGGGATAAAGAAGAGGGTCAGTATGTACGCGCGGCCGTGCCGCTCTCGCGTAATGCTGAAATTGCCGCCTCGCCGCCGGCGGCATGCTTCACTCCGGCCGGCTTACCTAAGAACGGTGGCGCAATAATGAGCGTGCGATCGTGATTCTTTCTACTGGAATTAATCATTCATTTCGCGCGATTCCCTTATCTTCCCGCGGAGTTGCATTTCTCTCCTCCCCCTCCCACCCCTCTTTTCTCTCGTTCTCTTTTCATTTTTCTTTTTTTCCGCTGATTCACGACGAGACGGGTGATTCATGATTTCTACGCATGAGAGGAGGATGATCGATCGTATCGCGTCTCGGATATGAGGAATTTAGTCAGACGGTGACCTCCCGCAACGATGCGTTCCGAGAGACGTGAGAGTGAAATATCGCGGAATTATAAGTCTACTCTGAAGATACCACGCAACTTCGCGAATCGGCGAACCGCGCGTAACGCGTCGCCATTCCGGTCGGGTTCAAGAATCTCGCCGATTTTCCTACGAGAAATCGGACCTCGTCGGTGCCACGAGATAGTAGAATCACGGTCTAACGTCAAATTCGACATTCGACTGAATTAATCAGCCGGGAACGAATTGGTAACGAGCTGGCAAGTTTATAATCCAGCCTGCACCAGCTATCGACTCAGGGACCGGCCAGATACATTTCCATCAGCGTCTGGTCTCATTCCCCGGTTGTTGCTCACACCGAGAGAACCGTAGATTTTGCAGGATCACCCGGAGAATGTCCCGCGATTTACCAGATCGCCGATAAGTTCGCGCCTCCGCACGGGCCGCTCGTGCGGGACCGAGCCAGCCGGTCGTTTCGACGCGAAGAAGTCGGTGAAAGGGACTTCGGGCTCGATTCTGCGTTCAAGGAGAGTAGCGCGCGCGCCGAGCAAGCGGCCGCCGGCTGGCCGAAGCTCTCGGACTTTGTTGTGGCTGAACGCGCGCCAGAGAGAGAGATATCCGCGGAATTCTTTCCCGCGGGATACTAGCGGACCGTTACGCCAGAGTCACGCGCTCGCCGGCTGAACCCTTCACCGGCTCGAGTGCGCGACAAATGGATCGGGATCACCGGAGCATCTCTCTCTCGGCGCTTCGTTCCCGCGGCAAGTGCGCGCAGGAGGTGCGCGCACCTTGAATGACAGCGGCCGCGTGAATGGGCAGCGAGGTCAGCGCGCGCGCGAGGATTATGCTTCGCAGGCTGCGTTTGTCGCCGGGTAAATGCGTCCGGGTATCGAGTTGCACGCACACGCATCGTTCACACGCACGTCGCGATATTAATGAAATTTTCGGCGAGTCCTGCGAGAGGGGAAAGGAACGCGATCCTGTTGTTATCGCGCGTCGTTGTTACCGCGGTGCGCGGAAGGACGTCGCTCGCATTCGCGAGTGAGGGATCTCGTGGGGATGAAAACGGGGTGCTTTTCTGAATCCTATGATGTAAATGGAATAAAAGCTTCGTTTCATGCGCCGTTGATGCGAATGTCGCACCGTGTATGAAAAGGATATCGCTTTAGCACTCGCGAATCTCGCGGGAATTAAAACAGACGTTTCTCTGAATTCTATGATATATAAGGAATAAGATCCTTCTAGTTGCGTACATCGTTTTATGCACCGTTGATGCGAATATTACCGCGTATAAAAAGACGTCGCTGTTGCATTCGCGAGAAAGAATCTCGCCTTCTCGCTGGAGATCAAAGAGATTTTCCTAAGTCCTACGATGTGAAAGGAATACGATCCTCTTCGTTACACAAACATTGGCGCAAATATTCTGATATATAATGAATGTTACTTCTTTTTTCTAAACTCCATGATGTAAAAGGAATAAATCTTCTTCGTTGTGCGCACCGTTCATGCGAATATCACCGGTATATGAATCGGTTGCGCTCCGCAAGAATCTCGCATACATTAAAAACCGACGTTTTTCCGAAGCCTACAATGCGAAAAGAATAAGACCTTCGTTATATAAAAGGTTGTTGGAAATATCCGCGGTGAGGGATATATCGGTTGCTTACGTGAGAAAGAATCTCATGCAAATTGATAAAGACAGGCTTCCCGTGCTCCCCAATGTGAAAAGAGACGCGCGAGGTCTCTCTGATTACGCTCGGCGGGTGTAATCGAAATCGTTCCCGGGCCATCTTTCTGATCGATCGTGCCCGATTCACGCGTACATGTATAAATACGATCGCATTAATAACGAACGTGCGTCTCACACGCTTGATTGGCAGCGATTATCAGAGTTCGTGCAGGAATCGCGAACTTTCACTTATCAGGGTCCGCGTGGTGCAATTTTTAAATCAGGGTGAACGACCTTCCGGCACGCGCATGCCGACCCGCGCGCGATTTCTGCGCGACGTTCTCTATTATCTTATCGGCCCTGGTTTATATAACGAAACCGCTCGTCAAAATCAGAACGGGCTCTCGAGAGCTCTCGAGTGCCATCGAGCGAATCTGTCGCAGAGGAGTGAGCGCGCGCGTGTTTCTGCCCGCTTCACGCTCGAGCTCGCTCGCGCTTCGTCTCACTTTCGTGTCCTATCCTACCACGGGCTCCGCAATTTAACGCACCCAAGACCGGTGAAACACGCACGATCACACGCGGGTGGAGAAAAATGCCGGGTATTTTCCAGTACTTCCAGTTCCACGCGAGACGCGGGGGAAGAAACCGGCGTTAACGGCGAGGAAATCTTCCCCGATCGCGCGGCTCGGTGATCAGCGAGGAAGAAAGCCGCGGTTTCGCACCGGCGACCCCACCCGATCGTTATCGCGACACAATCTCGAGCCTATCCGCCGGTTGCGATTATTATTAACGAGGACGGCGACGTACCGGGTCGATCAATAAAATGTTCTCGCGCGAGCGAAAACGGGAGCGCGTCGCCGCAACAGTACCGACGACGCAACAGGCGGAGAGGCGCCGGGAGTTTAAAGGAGGTCGTCCTGAATTCAGGGGAACCGGCGGCCGCCTCGCGCGTCCAGCATCTCCGATTCGCCGGTCGTGCCACATCGGGAGCACGACCGGAGGCTCGATTCTGGGTGTGTTTGTAAATAGGCTCAGCTAAAACCAGCATGAAGGAGGCGAAGTTGATAGCGTGTGAAATTGCCGGCGCTGCGTTCCGTATCTCTCGCCGATAAACCCAGCTTCGCGTCAGAAGCTGGATATTTATTATTATCGCCGGGGGGGGGGGGCCATGAATAATTCTTACGATTGAGTAAATGAGAAAGATTTCTTCTTAATACGAACTTACACGACTTACCGCTTTTTTTATGTATCCGAACATGAGAGGCGATAACTCGGAGGATATCTCAAAGTTAAGGATAACTGATTTAATTCGGCGTTATTCGACCTCACTCGGCTGAAAGTCACGTGGCCGGCGACATTTTCTTAATGCCGAGGGATATTCTTTTCTCACAGGAATCGAATCGTACGAAACGAAACTGCGGCGATATCGCGGTAGAAAATTTCAACCGCGAGCTTATGGAACGGTAATTTCGCGGGCTGAACAGCGCCGAGCTGGGAGAAGTGCAATTTTATCCTAGCGGCGGCTTGTCAATTGCGGTTAATTAAAGTGGAATTCGATCGTAATCGGGAAAACTTGTGGCGAATCGGCGCGCTAATGGGCCGCGGCTCGCCGATCCGTCGCGACGTTAGCATGCGGGAAGTAGGCGCCGGCCGGCAGTTCCGGCGCGTGCCCCGCTTGCGGAACGACGCGGAACCTAAGCGTTCCCGAACGGGCGCGACGGTTCGCCCGTCCGTCCGCGCTTTTCGAGGCGAATCGCGCGAAAGCAAAAACACCGAGCGAAAGCAAAAAGTTTCCGCGGTCTCGCGAGACTCCGCCGCGAGCGCGGCGCGGTGAAAGGCGGCACCTCCTCCGCTCCCTCCCTCCCCCTTTTCTTCTCTCTTTTTTTGTCCTCCAGCCGCCGATCGGCCTGATCTCGCGCCCCTGTGGTAACCACCACAATGCGTTTTCCACCCGCTTCCTGGATCCTTCTCCCGTGCCTTTCGTCGGGGGTGACGCAATCCCGCCGCTTTGCGAAACACCAGGCGGCGCGAGTGACATTTACCGTTTTTCGACGGGCATACCTGCGTGAGCGAGCCGCAGACATGTTATTAGACATTCCCCGAATATCGCGGAAGATAATCGAAAAATGTCCGCGATATATAACATGTTAATTCCTCGCGTTGGATCGACGCGATTTCCAGACGCGATACTTCCGCGAGCGACGAACGCGCACAGGATTAATCGAGAGCCCGATACATTTCCAAAACAAACTGATCAATAATTCTGAAATGTTTCCATATCTCTAAATTAGATCTTAAGATCGCAGTATTTGATTAAGATCCTGAATGGAAGGAGTGAGAAATAGAAGTTCAAGATAGGACATTAACCTCGAGGAATACGTGTAAAAGAAGGGTGTCACCCGCGAATATCTCAGCTTTCAACTAGTCGGTCGTTTTCTAATCTTTACAGACACGCAGGTAGTACTTGCACCGATATGCAGGCTGAGACGTAAAAGGATTCCTAAGAAAATGGTTCGTCGAAGCGACTACCTTCGCGCCGATCGGCCGGCCGGCCGGCTGATTCTGAGTTTCGCGAGGCCGCGCGCGCGCGGTTAATCGCGCAAGAAGTCCGCCGCTCGATCATTAGCCGGAACGCGACGCGCGGAGGGTATAATTAGCGGCGCGCCGTCCGTCAGGCTGCAATGAAGTCTGCGAGGATAATCCCCGCGCGCTTTTTCTGCGCCCCGCCTGTCGTTCCTTCGCGTGACGAAACCGCGGGCGAGTTACGTTGTTAGCGGGGACGATCTTGGGCCGATCGAGACCACCGGCCGCGGCCTAATTAGATCATCGATCATCGCGGTTGAGTCACCGTCGTGACCAGGCCGTAGTAGTAGCGTATCGCCCCCGCGTCCTCGCGACGACGAGCGCGCATGTGTGGATACGAGCTCCCTGCCGTAATAATCTCCGCTCTGAAAGTGATCGTGCCGCGAAAACGCGATTAACGGACACACACACCGCGTCCAAGGAGATCCTGTCCCTCCATGTAACACGGGGACGCGAGCGAGCAGCCTTGACTGTGCGACTGCCGCCGCCTTGCCTTTACAGGCGCGAGATGATTTGTCTGGGAAAGGGCGACGGTTTCTACGCTCCGACGCCGGAAATCGTCACCACGGACACGAAGAGAACGGTGTTTCCCTCGGGGCCTCGCGGCCGAATGGCTGACTTGTCGTTTTACGGCAATGTTTCACGTTCCGCGATATCGGAATATTCTTCTCTCTTAAGTAGCTTGTATTGCTTTCCATATTTTACGCCCTACCACTGTTTTGCTTACTTGAATTTTCGTTTATTTTATTTTACAGCGATTTGACGTCGATCACAAAGAAGCGGCTTTTCAGCTCGAGACGCGAGATAGTCACTTGCGCGTCACTTAAGACAAAGACTTAAGGAAAAAGTTGTCTTGAATCGATAAGTCAGCCATTTTGCTAAAACCCTCACGATTCGATTCCGGAGAACAGAGCAAGGGCTCTATTCGCATTGTTGAACTGATTTCGGGTGCGGAACGGATAAGGATTCAACGCAGGGATCGCGTCGATGTAACGTGTGATGTAACGAATCGCGATCTCGGCGATATCCCTTTCCAGAGCGTAGAAATAGCTATGATGCGGAGAGGAAAATTTATAATGACAACGAATGAATGTTGAGTAAGTAAGATCGATCTAGAAATTATGCGGTTGCTTTACTTCTCCGAAGGCTCGGTTGGGATTTTCTCGTGCACTGTGCGCACATCACACTATCATCAACGAAACCTTTCTTTATCGATTATGCAATATAAGCTGGGGGGGGGCGTTTACAGATACGTTTCGCATCCTGTTATTCTATTATATCTGCGAACACCTGAAAAAGAATCCCCAGTAAACACCGACAACAGTAACATTTTACATCAATATTGCAATTTCTCACTCAACAATGTAAGCGCGATATAACATTACATACGTTGTATATAACAATAACATTATCGAGTGGGAAACTTTAACATTGTTCTACTGTTTTTACTATTGTTTTCGTTAGTATATTTACTGTTAATTGGCGCTTACTGAGCTATCGTCTTTCAAATTAGCTATTCCCTATTATTATCCTCATTTAGGGACGGGTTGCCAAATTTGTACTACTTAAGGTATTTTTAAGATGTCTATGTCACACACAAACAGAGAGAAAACACAGCGCAATTCGTTCGAGTTTCGATTACGTTTTTCATCGGACGATGCGGAGGAGAGTTCGCGTCATTGTGCGAACAATTAAAATGGAACTGATAATTTTCCCGATTCTTCCCGACGTTATCTCCCGTCTAGCCGAACGCGATTCGCGGCGGGACGGACACAATTGAACCTTGAACGACGGTAAGCTGAGCGTCGGGCACGGCATTACGTGGGTTTACGCACGAGCCAATTTAGCTGGCTAGGCATTCTGCGATTTACGCACCGCTGAAAATTACGTCGTCGATTATAGGAAACTATACGAGTCTCTGTCGTGAAATGGCTCTCGCGTAACGTGTCTTACACACGGCGAGAGCACCTCGGCTACTTCGAAGAAGCTTGTAACGCGAGTTGACACACGTCGGCGCGCTGCAAAAACTCTCCACACTGTCCCGGGCGATCTTAATGACGTTTCCTGCTCGGCGAGTGCTCGCCTAAGATGGATTAAAGAGTGCACCATAATCACCGGAAGTTCGCGATCGATCGCGATGAATCACGCCGAGGTCAAGGACCGAGTGATGTCAATATTTACTGGATGCGTCGGCTGGATTGAATCGACTGGAAGGAAAGCGAATGGAAAAAGCGATCGGGCGAGAATTTAGAGCGATCTAAATATAATTAATAATAACGTTCGTCCTCGGTGATATTGAAACACTCCGGTTCGGTGACGGTTATCGCAAGGACGGATTAAATTCCTTTCCCTCACTTTGCTTAATTACACCTGTCCAACGGGAGACGACAATGACGACTAGCGGGGAAATTAAAAGAGGGATTACCTTTCCCTCCGTTCTATCGAAGCTCGAGCGAAGCGGTGGTGCGGAAAAAAAAAAGCGAAACAGGCTCCTTGAACTTTCTAATGTGTTAAAAGAAATACAGAATATCGCATCAATTTCTACAAGAGGCGTTCGAGAAACCACACGCTTCCTTCTTGAGATAATTGGCCCGTGAAACCATTTTCTCAGGAATCCTTGGAAATTTCAGTTGCACGTTGATGAAAGTATCACTTACACGTCTGTTAGAAAACGATTGATCATTCGGTAGCTTCGTAAATCGTGGATATTACTACAAATTGTAAATTTCCCGTGGCTATATTTCCAAAACAAAATGATCAATTTCGAAAAATTTCAGGTAATGCCTATTAGAGTATAGACTAGTGCTTGATGTCACAGTAGTTTCTCGTTAAAATCCTAAATACAGTTTCGAAGAAATTATAAATAGAAGTTAAAAAATAGGACATTAACTGCGAAGAATACGTATAAAAGGTGTTATCTTTAGTTGCGAATATCCCCGAAAGGACAATCGTTTCCTAACGTTTACAGACGTGTGAATGGTATTTCCCTGAAATTAACAAGAATCATTCCTAAGAAAATACCGACGGGACCCTCCGAAACACGAATGACGAGCGAACGGTTGTTCCGAGCTTCAAGATAATAGCGCAAACAGAATCGCGACGAACGTCTATCAGCAACGGCAGTAATTAAAGCGTCTCAAGCGAAAGCAAAGTCGAAGCTACCGTCGAAAATACGAATACCCGTGAACAGTCCCTTCTCCGTGTAACCAATTAATATTCCACGACCCTGAGAATGATATTCAGTGACGTAGAGCGACTCAACGTCATCAAACGTCAGATTCGAGCGAGCGGGACTCGCAGGATTCTCGGGACACCTGTGCGCGAGTATGGCGAACGTCTTCTCGAGTGCATCCGGAGGGATTCGTGGGCGCGATTGCAGGCAGGCGAACAACAGCGAGAGAGAGAGAGAGACCGGGGGAAAGAGGAGCTGAGCGAAGCGGGTGCGAGCGACGACGACGATTTGACCGGCCGCGAATGCACTTACGCCGCGATGCTCTTGGAAAGAGGCCACCGTTCCATGGACGCCTGGTACTTCATGTTCTCGATCTGCTTCTTCAGTGCGTCCTTGTCCATGGTGGCGAGTACACTGGGATCCATGGTTACAGCCGCACCCCCCTTGTCGCAATCGGGAACGGAATAGCGCGTGCGCCTCCGCGGGAAAATCAATAGGGCGAGAAGAGCGGTGGTATCGGGTGCTCTCTGTAAAGCGAACGCTCTCTGTCTCATCGGGGTGCAGAAAGAGGAGGCACGCTAGCTGGGCTGTCTGGCACAACCGAGAGACCGTCGAGAGACGATCGGTGGGCGACCTCGCGGCCCAGAGATGATGATGATGATGATGGATGGTGAAACACGAGCGACGAATGCAAACCGAGTTCGGCGAACGAGCGCGTCAAAATGGGAACGCGACGATGACGCGCTGATGACGCGCAGCCGAGGCCTACGTAATCAGACTTACGTATGTATGCATGCAGGCCCGAGACGCGCGCTTTTCTTTCCTTCCTTTCTTTTTTTCTTTCCGCTCGCTCGGCAAAGGGCGCGGCGAACGACCGTATGCGAACGAGCGTGCCAACCTCGGACTTTTCATGTTACTCTGATGCTCTCGAGGATAGTTCGCGCCTACTTAGATGGCCGATAGAATGATAAAAACCTCGTCCGACGATACTGACACTTAATGACGTTCATAGCGATGTTTCTCACGATATCGCGATAATATGTTTTATTCCACTTCATCTCTTATGTATCGACAGGTGAGACCATCCCGGAGAACTGACATTTTTATATCTCGCGGCCACGTGCGTTCTCATTTCGCATCCTCGGCGATAAGGATAGTTCGCATCATTTCTCAACATACCTTACGCGTGTTTCACGTTATTATTAATACAAAAAATCAACCTTACGATCTAATCTCTCCTTCACTGTGCGCGTATGCGCGACATTGATCCATTTACCCTATTAATCATAATCACGTAATTCGCATACTCGCCGCGTTACCGGCGCTGTTAATCCGATCTTAATTGCGCGGTTCGCGGTATCGTCGTTATAAACCGCAATCCTCGGGAAATCACATCGTTACACGTCGTTACAGCGTCCGATTGCGATCTCGCGCGTTCACAATCGAGATTACGCCGAATCAGAAATTGATCTCGCAGATGAAGGCGACCCCGTCGGTGCACTCGGCATCGTTCATGCCGCCTTCCTTCAGAAGGAGTCCGCAATGCTGCTTCCCGCCATAGTTGTTGGGTTGTTGTTCATCGAATTTCGTGGTCCACTTCGCGTAACCCGATGACTCCATGGGCTCGTCGAGAATCGTGTTCCAATCACCCTCTTCGTATAAATCGTGCACACCGAGCCACGCCGTGCCGATCTTGTTCTCCTCTAAAATGCGTAGCAGTAGCTTCTCCTCCGAATTGGAGTTGATAATGGCCAAGTGACCTGCGTCGACCATCCGTCTCGTTAATCCGACCAGCGAAACCCGTTTTATACGTTTTTATTATTTAAGGTAACAATCCCATTTATGAATCGAGTCCCGATCTCGGGCCGAACTTGGTTCATTAATGTACGTAGAGAGAAAATAAGTCTTAAATCAAGAATAGATATGTTCATGTATAAGCAAGAATATCATAATCATCTTAGAAGATTTTCTTAGTTTCGATCTGATTGAATTTGTATTGATGCGATGTATCGCTTGAATTTGATTTGAGGCTAAAAATCTTCGAAGAATATTATAATATTCTTGCTTAAATATGAGAATATCTATCTTGATTAAAGACTTAATTTTTTTCTTTAATTTTTTTCTTCAATTCCTTGACTTTAATTTGTTTGTCAGTAAAATAATTTCGCTCGACTGATAGCAACTTTCGGAGAGGCCGGGCGAGATTTATCCGTCTGGTTTAACTTCAACTATCACGCATTTAATCGCTCATTAATTACTCGACCGATTTGTTACTCTTGTACTTTTGTCAGTGAGACGAAGTTATTGACCGACAAAATGTGCGATCGAAATGTCGCTATCGTAAAAATTCTTCAAGTTGACGCGATATTCGGCGAGTCTTCGTCAAATGCGATCTTCGTTGTGAATAAAACACTCACCCCCTTCCTGGACGCAAATTCTACGAGCGCGGTTCCACGGTAGTTTGCGAATGTAAAGCTTATGAGCGCCTATGCCAGGTGTAATGAGGTAATCGCTTCCTGCTTTATCTATGAGATTGACAGAGTTATGCGCTTTCCATTGCTGCGGTGTGTTGATGTAAATTATTTGCTGTCCCGGTATCATACGCTGATTGGTTCGGTACGCGCACAGCAGTTGCTGGATCGCGCTCATATTCTGATCATTATCGCATAGTGACTTGCCTGGAGCTACAAAAGATTGGTGTACAGTGTCGTCAAGGCTTGGCGGAAAGTAAAAAATCGGAATTGCATAGAAAATACATTAGGTATGTATGAATATAATTAGTAGAAAATACATCCATATGGATATTCATGACACATAGTTAGTTAGTTTGACTGTCCGTGTCCTACATTTTGTCCAGAATGCAGTTTTCTCAATCAACATAAGAAATTTGAATATAAATCAAGTAAAATATACAAATAGAAAAATATAAATACAAATATATATAAATATATATTATTTAAAAGAGTTTTATAAGAAACAATGGGATAAAATATTGCTAAATGGCTTAATATGACAATATACCGACTGGATGATATACTTTGCAATCGATTTCTTATTTTAAACACGTTTAAGAAGAACTTTATAAATTATGCATACGATGCGCTTCCGCTCTGAACTTCTCGATTATTAACTTCGCGGACCGATTTACGGCAATAAGAAAAGCGAGCGAAGTTAAATTCATCTCTTTATTAAAATCTACTTTTAAAGCTGCTCGGAAAAATATCCTTTATTCAATTTAACACGTTCGCTCCCAGTTTCATATATATATGATAGTGTTAATTTGTCTTTTTATGTCTACATAAATTAAATCCATGTTTTACACAATTGCATAAAAAAAGTAGTACAAGGTAGTCCGTAGAGAAAATTGTCCAAATGAGCTCTGGTCATGAATGTATTAAAAAAAAAACATATATATAATCTAAATATATAATCAATTATATTATATTTAATCGTAGATTTATATTATTGTTATTACAATTGTTAAATTCTTGAACCACACATTTTCTTTTCAAATACATGAACGCAATAAATGTGCTCTTTAAAATTGGTTTCGTCGAATCATTGAAACGCATATCGCAATTATATTCTCGTTAATTTTTACCTTGCAAAACGTTAGTAGTGTCAGACGGATCCATCGCCAGGCAATACAACGTTACGCACAAAGGCACCAACAGATATCGCAACATAATTATTATATGTGCTAACCACGAATTCCCAAGAATGAATGTCACGAATAAGTGATGCACTTTATATATAACGTGATAAGATGATAAAATTGCCATACGCAGAGACGACTTATCTTTTCGACATATGTAGGGACGACTTATCTTTTCGACAGGATGCTCCGTAAGCATCACTACGTTGAATAAGAACACACATGCATGTAAAATAAAGAACGCGAGCAAACGACGCAAAGTAACGATAATGTTGATCGTTCCCTTGGAAAATTTCCTCTCGAAAATTTCGAATCGTGAATCTATTGGACTTATATTCCCCGTTAGAGTGCTAAACTGTTAAGAATTGCGTATTCTACATAAGTGAACGTTATTCTGATATTACGGAAATAAATACTGAAAATAAAAAGAAAGTAAAAAATTGACTGATGTTCATCGACGTGATTTTATTTTTCGATTAACATTAAGTGGTCGTTATTTCATCCGCAATTTTACACACGGTTAAATCGTCGTGATAATTCGCGTTAAAGATTAGAAAATTACGACTTCAGTAAGTTTTCTGTAAACTTGTTGTCAAATAGAAAATATCATAAAACTTGTATAAAATTTGTACTGTAAAAAAGTGTTAAACTCAAGTAAATAATTTCTTCAATAGTTCTGAATAAATTTTTTACTTGGATTAATTAAATATCACTTGAATTTAACACTTTTTGGTTACATTCAATTAATATATACATTTACTTGGCTCAAGTAAAATTTACTTAGCCTGAGTAAAAATTTGCTCAGAATTATTGGAATAATTATTTACTTGAATGTAATATCTTTTCCAGTATGCCAATTGTCTATTTTTAAATGACAGACCTGAAGAAGAGAGGCACACATCGCACAAAATAAAATATCTTCAAATTATCCCAATGATAAATTTCGCTAACCAGTGCACATTTGATATCATTACTTAATAATAACCTTGCCTTACTTAATACAGGAAGTACGCTATTTAACGCAAGAAGTACAACATTACTTATCAGTTTGGAGAATCCTAATAAGGGATTCAAGTTTTATCACGACAAAGCTCTCCCATAATGCCTATCATTATCATGTACAATTAATTAATGACCTTGTTAATTTAGTAGAGTCGCACATTGGAGATACCGCGATTAACCCGTTGCGGTCCGCGCTGTATTCGCAATTTCGTCCCAGCCGGTCCGCATAGATTTCGCCAATCGCTCATCCGCTTGTTACCGTTTAATTTAGAAAACATTTATGATACTACACCGCAGCTCTTATCTTATCTCTTTTAGCGTACGATGAAGACTCTGTCAACGTCGACTCTGTCGCGTCATAGGACGCGTTGGAACGAGACGTGGTGTCAAGCGTCGCTCGACATAAGATTTGCTGGAACGAAACGCTGTGTCGAGTGACGCTCGACATAAGACCGCAACGGGTTAAAATATCGCGCGAGCCGTTCGCGTGAGTTTCAGACGAAGTTTAACGGGTGACATTCACTTACAATAAAAGCAGTTCCTTATTTTTAATCTGCCCTATTTTCATAAAACTCGAAATCGAGGGATTCGAGGAAAGAGCGAGGCCCTCGACAATACGACGAGCGAAAGTCTCGCGAATATTATTCAACGGTTCAATTTTCTCAGGAATTTTTCCGCAAACAAGAGCGAGAGAGTTCCGCTTGTTTCGCCAGGCTGTAACAGACGTTAGAATCGTTCAGCGCGAATATCGCGGTTCAACTTCCGCGAAAACGCGAACTAGGCGCGCGTAACCCGGCGCGCGCGTTTAACTTAAACGCGCAGGATCATACCTACATTGGAACGTAATCGCATTCCCGATTGGAAAGTTCAAATGTCACTGTAACGTGCGATCTGGTAAACTCGTGGCCGATACATAAGTAAAGCACGCCGATAAAACTTTCGCACCGCGACGCTCGCCGTGAAAAAGTTCCTACTTCGCTCATACACTCGCATGAGCGAGTGCATAAAGTCTGCAGTTAATTCCTGCGCCCGCTAATCCGGTTACGCTTATCGTCAGTCGAGCGCATATAACAGTCGCACGACACAACATTGCAACGACTAAAAATCTTTCGATCCTTCGGACGAAACGTGAGCCAATATTTATTCGTAGATAGGAATATTGAGACACTACTGATATAATACTGGTATCGATATATATTTTTTTCCAGTACCGGATATTCTTCTATCGATATTCTCTTCCGATATTCGGACTCATATCGGCACTACATGTTTCGATGTTTTTATATGTTCTCTAATTTTAGATCTTTTTAAATTTCAATACCGGTATCGGTAAATTTTCTTGTGATATTGGTATCACTAGTTATACCAATATTCTTGATTACTGTTCGATTAACTTTTAATATCTGTTTCGACATTAGTATTGATATTTTCATAGTATACAATATCCCTGGTATATAATATCCCGTAGATATAAAAATGTCAAATTCAATCTGTCGACATGGCCTCGCTGGATTTCTGCTCAATTTTAAACGCACTCAATACACGTACGAATATGTCTCGCAAATGAGACAACTTCTTTTGTAAATCTTCTTAATATCGTAGCTATCGTTGCATGAAATTTGTCACCTCTTTTATCACAATACACTTGTAGGGAAGAAACATTATTTGCGCGTAAAAATCGTTGTGCGATAAGAGTGTGATAATCTCGAGATTACGTTGGTTCGGTTTGCAGTCGCAACTATTTGACCAGTTATGAGAAGTTATGTATCGTAAAACGTTCAGGTGTGGCACTTACCTTGCCGGACGACCGAGGAGTTCTGCGGCGGAGTGTCTTTTAGCGGGTTTCACGATTCGCTCAAGGAAGCCTCGGAAAATCTGAATAATCTAATTTAGCGATGATTTCCGCGCCGATATTTTCAATCGTCAGTGCGCCTACTTGCGTTCGCTAACGAGCACACCGTGAACTTAATCCACCATGCGAATGCATATCTCCGATGACCGACTTATATATATATATATGTGTGTTAGACTGAAATATAATTATTGAATTAAAAAGACGTTGTGTGTATATGTGTGATGCAGAAAACCGCTTCGTTTCCATACGTGTTATATTATTACCTGATTTCCTGCAGAAGAGTGCCACTCCTCGTGTCATTTCTTTCAAACTAACGACCTCTTTACAAATATGAAATCGATTTTCTCTTAACGAAGATACAGAGAACGGAATGCGATTAGAAAATGACCTTATAGATAAGATAAAACGATATTTCTATTAATGCGGTTCTTATATGATTTTTTTTTGTTATAAAAAAAAGTTATAAAAAAATTTCGATTCACTACTCTAGATTACATTATATAGATTTTTGACAATAAAATCGTTGCGCATTGCGCTAAATGCGGCCAATGTGATTAAAGTCCGACAAGAGTCACAGTAAAGACCTCTCGCGGAAACCTCGGAACTACAAAATCTTAGTTTTAGGTTAAAATAAAGAAAGAATCATCTGATAATTAGGATATTCATAATTAAGAGAAAACCAGCTGGGACGCACAGATTGATTTTTTCAATTAACAGTCAAAATAAATATCGAGCTCAGTTAATTGAATGAGCGCTCAAGTGAAGTGCAGCAAGAGTCCGTATATTCATTTATTATAAATTTTTAAGGATCTAATTGCAAAATCGGGCTCTATAGGTCCCTAGTGAATATTATAGAGAATAATAAAAAAAATGTTGGGTAGAAATATATGACTCGTATGAAGAAGAAAGCTGGAAAAAATATCGATCACATAATAATTTCTCACAGTTTATTGCTTTCTTGCATTGTTTGCATGTTTTTTTCATATTTATTCTTGTACTTGTAAAAATCATCTAGGTGTTTAAATTCTAAATAAACAGAACGTCGAGATTTAGAATCTTCAGTTGCCTTTGGGCCAACCTTGTACGTCTCTGGCTGTAAATATAAATCTATATGCAAGTATTATAGACTAAAAAAAAAGAGAAAATGAAAACACACTCACACACGGGTTGCTGTAATTCTTTTTAAATCGTTACAAAGCGACACTCGTTCGCAAGATGTCTTCGGGATATGTAACACGCCTAGCTGAAATGTATTCTGAAAGTAATTTGCCGCTGACTGCTTATTTTTTCCTTCGGCGAAAGTCTAACTTTGGTCTTAATTACGTCGACCTTTTAGATAAGATAATTAGAGCGATACGATCAATCAAAGCAGATTGGTAATCAAGAACCATGAACTTATACGGAAGCTCGTCGAGCCCGGCTATCTTCCTTGTATGATACATACACTTATACGTCATGATTCTTACGGTTTCGCTAAGGAACTTTATCAGTTTACACATCGTTACGAGCTGAGAACGGTAATACAATGATACTGCCATTATTTGTTATCAAAAATCAAATGTATATTGAAGACAAAGTCTCGTGATAATTAACGAATGCATTTGGTTGAGCGTTTCAGTGCAATATTTGGTAATTAGTATCAAGTATGAAGTTCTTCAATATATAAACCGAGTGTTTCTTGGTCGCTTTTAGAATAAAAGAAAAAAATTTTGCTTTTCAGCTTCAAGCTTAAATTAAGCAAGAGGTACTACTAAGTTGATATATCGCGAGAAATACCGAAGCGCTAAATCTGGCTTACGCAGATGCGAATAAGAGCGCATCTCACTGTGTGGGACAATGTCGCAGACAGCAGTGCGTCTTCTCTCTCCGCCGTCACATTGCAACGGGATTTTCAGGGCGAATGACAATCCTCGCTGGTAAATCGATCGTCGACTTTCTATGTCTTTAGTCGCGGGAAATCGTCGCTCCGAGTCGCGGCCGCCGGTTTCGACCGGCTTCAGCGGACGATTATTTATGCGCATAAACATCGCGCCATTGTGGATTACACATCTGCCACATGTATTGTATGCCGACTGTTACACAAAGTAATTACGCGATCGCTATCGACAACCCGCTGGAACAGCATTTCCCCAATTATATCGAGCGAGCATTGCGACATTAGAATAACCGATCGA